GGTCCCGCCGCCCGGGTCCTCCGCGGCTTTGCTCCGTTTCTCCCTGGTCTGCTGGAGACCAACAGACCAGGGAGATGGGGAGCAAAGCCTCTGAGGACGCCGGCAGTGGGATAGCCGCGGCGCAAACCCCGTTCGTAACATAAGTCGGATCCGCGTAACTCGGGGAATGCCTGTAGTAGTATTGCCAATGGGTTTAGTGGAAGTGGACTAAAATGTCCAGAACAGATCAACATTTCTGGCCATTTTTAATTTCTCAAAGAACACTCTCCAGCATGATTGTTAGTTTGTATCAGCTTTTACCCTTTGGTTCTTTCATATGTAATAGGGGGACAAAGGTAGGAATTCTTTGGTTTGAGGCTCTTTTGGGTCAGTGTTAATTCCATATGTATTATACTTTTGAGGCCATGAAATGGCACAAACTAATTTAAGTTAGTTAAGTTCAAAGAAAACTGAGAGACATTGTAGAGGGAGCTGATCAAGCTACTTGAATATGCAACATGGTGTCAAGTGCAGTTTAATGTTGGTAAATACAAACTAATGCACATTAGCAGGAAAAATTTAAACTATGGGGCTATGTCTACCCTGGAGGCTTATTGCGCAAGAAGTATTGAGCAAGAAATTGTTCACACTGCCATGTGCGAGCTGTGCTTTTGCACAAGAGCGCCCATGGCAGTGTGGACGCTCTCTTGCGCAAGAAATCCCTGCTGAGCGTCCACACTGCCCTCTTGCACAAGAGCCCCTCCGCAAGAGGGCTTACACCTGTTAAAAAAAGAACGTAGCTCTTGCACAAGGAACCGTCTCTTACCACGCCTTACTGTCAATTTCCTTGCGCAAGAGCGGGCGGGCAGTGTAGACGCTCTGCGGATTCTTGCGCAAGAACGGCCGTACTTGAGCAATAACCCGCCAGTGTAGACATAGCCTGCATATACTATACAGGATTCTAAATCATACCAAAAGAGAAAAGTTTTTGGGTATCAATATGGGGAACTAACTGAAGACCTTGAATCAAGTACAGTTGTGATAGGAAAAAACCCAAACTTTTGGGATTCATAAAGAATATACTGGAGAATAATTTGGTTAATATTATGATTCTGTTATATAAATCAATCAAGCAACCTCAACCAGAATAGAGTATGTGGTATTCCTATTCCAAAAAAAGGTATTACAGAATTAGAGGGCATTTAGAGAAGGTTGACTACAGAGAACAGGTATGTGTGAAGAGTAAAACTAAAAAGATGGAGATTGCTTACCTTAAAAAGGAGAAGACAAAAGGGGACAAGATAAAGTAATGAATGTCTAGAGAAGATAGATTGTGAGTGTCGAGTCTATTTTCCCTGTCTCAAGAACAACAGGATATTACATTAAAGTAGAAGGTGACAGTTTCAAAATGGATCAAAGTATATCGTTTTTTACAAAAAAACCTATCATGATTCAAAAAGGAATTAGACCTATGAGGCTATCTAAGCTACGTCTACACTACAAGTAGTGTGGGGATGAGTAGTGAGGGATGAGTCGTGATCTCATTTGCATATTTTCTGCCGATCTGTTTTTGCACTGGGGTTTTTGCGCAAAAACAAGCAGTGTGGATGTTTTCTTTTTGCACAAAACCCCTTTTTCTGTAAGATCGCGAAACCTTTTTTGGGGCATTAGGATCTTGCAGAAAAAGGGCTTTTAGCTCAAAAATAAAATGCCCACGCTGCTTGTTTTTGTGCAGATACCCCCGCGCAAAAAGGGATGGGCAAATCCTCAGCGCAAAAATGGAGCAGCAGAGAATATTCAAATGAAAGCATGACTCATGTAAATGAGACCCTTATTTGCATATTTATTTGCCGAGAAAACTCGTAGTATAGACGTCATTTGCATATTTTTTTGCCACTGCTGTTCTTTAGCTCTAATTTACCCTTAAATGTCTTCTCCCAGCCCAGTGCGCAGTGGAAGTGTTGGTGGAGAATTTAGATTTATAATAAATGCTCACCTAATTTTTTAAGAGATAGATAGTAAAACTCTTGCTTCTGTTTTTAAACTGATCTAGCAATTGAAGGTTTCTTAAGTTTTCATTTGAGGTTTCTGGTGTTGGCCACTTAGCAACCAGTTACTATACTATGAATGGTGATTCCTATGAAATAATGGAGTTTAATCATCATACGTAAACAGTATTTTTATTTTAATCAGCTTTTTAAAACTTTGGAGGACGAGATGCAATGGTAATGAGCACCATATATAATTCAGATATCTGATTTTCTAACTTAACTTTCTTTAGGCAAGTTCCATTTGATTTCAAAGATAGGAAGAGTGGAAAAAAGTGTAGAAGCTCACTGTGGAGCTGTACTTGCGGGAAGATGGAATTATGAAGGAACAGCACTGGTCACAGGTAAAACATTTTCCATAAAGAACTAAAGATAGAAATTAATATTATAAAAATGCCATTGCAAGAGAAAGAATAATTTAAAGGCATGAAATTGATATCCTGAAGAACAGGAATGGTACACCAAGTATGTATTGGGGCTGGTGTATAGGGTCACTTCATGTGTGTCAAACGAAGGCATAAATCTGTAGCACACTAGCCTGCCATCACTAAGGTGCCATCTACATAGCACCCTAAACTTGAAATAAGATACACAATTTGTGCAGTGCAAATTGCATTTCTTATTTCAATTGAATTTTGAAATAGCGTATTTAGAAATTTGGTGCATCTAATTTCGAAATAACACACTATTTTGAGACATCCCGTAGACCTTGTGGAACGACGGTTTCTGGGATGCTGAAACAGGTCTCAAACAGTGGACATGCTATTTCAAAAGACATGGGGTAGCTATTTCGGGATACTTCGGGATCCCAAAATAGCCCTTCTGTGTAGACGTACCCTAAGTGGCTGTGTGGACCCTGCTGCCATGCAAACAAAGTGCTGTCGTGCATTTGTATTTATTTTTGTCTCAGAGGGGCCTCTGCGTTAGTCTGTATCAGCAAAACCAACGAGGAGTCCTGTGGCACTTTAAAAATAAGAACAGTGATTTACAGTTACGGTAATGTTCTTCTGATTAAGTAATTATTGAAGTAATTATTGAACATGTAAAAATGTTAATTACCAAAAATTCAAATCTAGACATTTGGCTCTTTTATAGATTTTGTTTAATTATTTTTCATGTGTGAAATTACATAAACAGCATTATTATTGGCTGGTTTACATTTTAGATGGTTACTAAGTTATATATTAAGCATTTAACGTATGTGCACACATGCATGCATCAGTAAAGATTGCCTAAGTTAGGGTGGGAAATAATATTTAAAAGAGGGGGCCACTTCACAAATTTCTGAAGTGGCCCTGGGCTGTCCCAGAAGGGACAGTGCCTGGGGCAGAAGAGGCAGTTCTCTCTGGTAATGCGCACCGTTGACAGGGGGAGTGCTCTCCTGCTCCCATGCCAATCAGGGAATGGGAGTGGGGGGAGAGTGTGAAGTCTATCGTCCCCTGACCCCTCCCTGCCAAGGATGTGCAGTGGCTAGAGAGAACTTACAGGGTTTTTTTTAAACAACTGGTGGTTCCCCCTGGTGCTGCGTGCCATTGGCGGGGGAGAGGAGACTTTGCGTACTCTCCCATCTCCAGGTATTGATTGGCTTGGGGGCAGGGGAGTGGCAGGGGGGGCACCGGGCAGGGCCAGGGGCCGGATCACGGCTTGGCAGGCTGGATCAACCAGCTTGTGGGGTGCGGAGGCTGTCTTACCCACCATCCGTGGCCTAAGTGTTTCCACTTGAAACCCATTTTGAGTTGCTACACTTTTTGAGACTTAGCTTTTGGGGTCTGAACATTTTCAAATCTTACATCCTGTTCCCGTTTGAATCTCCCTGTTTTTAGAACTGTAAGCAAAGAGAGTTCTTCTTCGAGTGATGTCCCCATGGGAGCTCCACTTTTGGTGTTGGGTCATTCCAGTGCTGCTAAGCAGCAGTAGTCAGCCAGATTGTACATGCGCGGTAGGCATCTTGCAACGTTTGCACCCTTTTGCTCACGCGCACGGTCCAGCTCCCGCCAGTTCCATCTTTGCCACCCTCAGCAAGCTCTTTTCCTCAACTGTTCTAGTCACACAAAAAGAGTCTCTTAGTTAGTAGATAGTTGTTATACTTAGTTCATAGTTATAGTTACTCTTAAGAAGTTCTTTGTTGTTCTTTAAACTGCGTGGATACTGGCCGTCTCTCAGGCCATAACAAAAAAAAACCCCAAACCAACAACAAAAGAGAGAAAAAAGAAGATTCTGCTGAACGACCATGGGGGAGGACTAATGACAGTACCCCCTCATGATGCTGATCTCACCAGGTTTCAAAAATGCGACACTTGTCATGAACCCATTCTGGCCTCCAACGGGCACTCTTCTTGTATTAGATGCCTAGGTAAGGCCCATGTGCCACAGAAATGCCTGCACTGTTCGATGCTAAGTTCAATAAAGCACTCCAGCCATCGGACTCTACGTTGTTCACGGCTCGCTCCGACCCCTCCCGCCCAAAAATGGAGGGCATCTTCCCCCACTATGGGGGACAATCTGGGGATATCCAGCACAACCCCTTCACACCCTAAGGCTCACCCCGATGCCAGAGGTAGTGGAGACAGCAACCTCTGGTGCTTTTCGAAGTTGGGAAGACCAAGCCCAGCTTCCGAATCATGCAGTACTGGTGGCAAAGTTTTGGTGAAAAGGTCAGAGAGTTAGGGCTGATTAATTGACTAGTCGATAGAATTTCCATCGAATACTCAATTAGTCGATAGGCACTTCTGCATTTCTCCTTTGAAATGTACGAGAGATTGTGGCTCTTGTACATTTCAAAGGAGAAACGAGGAACTCCACAAGCAGCCCAGGACCAGCGGGAAGTCCCACTGATTCTGGGCTGTACACAGCGTGCCAGCTTTGAAATGCACGAGAGTCTCCAGCAGACTCTTATTTTCAACTATCTGAGTTAGGAGTAGGAACATTAAGGATTAGTTGACTCAGAGTCCCCCACTGACTGCCAGGACTCCATGCTGTGCTGCCAATTTGAAATGCCATGTGGAGCTGTGGTGAGCTGGGGACTCCTCAGCAGAAACTAGGAGTTGATCCCGGGTTCCGCAGAAATGCCACGCTGGAGCCCGGGATCAGCTAGGGAGTCCCCAGCTGACCTTGGGTTCCACACGTGGCAGCACTGCACAGCTGATCTCTGGCTTAGATGTTCGGCACTGTCCCTTTCAAATACCGAGGTGGCATTTCAAAGGGGCAGCGCCACACAGCGGAGTCGGGGATCAGCTGTGTGGCACTGCCGCTTTGAAGTACCCTTTCTTCCCCCCCATCCCCTTTGCTGGGGGCGAGGAGACTTTGCGCACTCCCCCATCTCCAGGTATTGATTGGCTTGGGGGCAGGGGAGTGGCAGGGTGGCTATAAGCCAGAGGGAGTGGCAGGGTGGCCATGGGCCGGATCAACCGGCTTGGCAGGCTGGATCAACCAGCTTGTGGGGTGCGGAGGCTGTCTTACCCACCATCCGTGGCCTAAGTGTTTCCACTTGAAACCCATTTTGAGTTGCTACACTTTTTGAGACTTAGCTTTTGGGGTCTGAACATTTTCAAATCTTACATCCTGTTCCCGTTTGAATCTCCCTGTTTTTAGAACTGTAAGCAAAGAGAGTTCTTCTTCGAGTGATGTCCCCATGGGAGCTCAACTGTTGGTGTCGGGCCATCCCGGTGCCGCTGAGCAGCAGTAGTCAGCCAGACCGTGCATGTGCCACAGAAATGCTTGCACTGTTCGACACTAATGGCCAGGGCATGCCGTGACAGAGAGATGCATCTCCGCATGCTCTAGTTCAGTAAAGCACTCCAGCCATCGGACTCTACTCCCGCCCCCCCCAACCCAAAAATGGAGGGCATCTTCCCCCACTATGAGGGACAATCTGGGGACATCCAGCACCACCCCTTCACACCCTAAGGCTGTCCTGGACCCGAAAGTCTGCTAAAGGGCTCCATCAGTGCTGACAGTTGGAACCAGCACTGAAGTCGCCCAGCACTGAAGTCATCATTGGCATCGGCAACCTCATCCACAAAGACCCTTGCACCAATGTCGGCACCCGCATCAATGCTGCCAGCGTCACCAGCAGCAACACTGTGCTGGAATGTACATCGCTCCCTATCCCAGGATGCACTCAGCAGACCATCGGCACTGAGGAAGGCTCACACTAAATCCACTAAATCCAATAAGCCTCAGAGGACTAGCCCTAACTCTCTGACCTTTTCACCAAAACTTTGCCACCAGTACTGCATGATTCGGAAGCTGGGCTTGGTCTTCCCAACTTCGAAAAGCACCAGAGGTTGCTGTCTCCACTACCTCTGGCATCGGGGTGAGCCTTAGGGTGTGAAGGGGTTGTGCTGGATATCCCCAGATTGTCCCCCATAGTGGGGGAAGATGCCCTCCATTTTTGGGCGGGAGGGGTCGGAGCGAGCCGTGAACAACGTAGAGTCCGATGGCTGGAGTGCTTTATTGAACTTAGCATCGAACAGTGCAGGCATTTCTGTGGCACATGGGCCTTACCTAGGCATCTAATACAAGAAGAGTGCCCGTTGGAGGCCAGAATGGGTTCATGACAAGTGTCGCATTTTTGAAACCTGGTGAGATCAGCATCATGAGGGGGTACTGTCATTAGTCCTCCCCCATGGTCGTTCAGCAGAATCTTCTTTTTTCTCTCTTTTGTTGTTGGTTTGGGGTTTTTTTTTGTTATGGCCTGAGAGACGGCCAGTATCCACGCAGTTTAAAGAACAACAAAGAACTTCTTAAGAGTAACTATAACTATGAACTAAGTATAACAACTATCTACTAACTAAGAGACTCTTTTTGTGTGACTAGAACAGTTGAGGAAAAGAGCTTGCTGAGGGTGGCAAAGATGGAACTGGCGGGAGCTGGACCGTGCGCGTGAGCAAAAGGGTGCAAACGTTGCAAGATGCCTACCGCGCATGTACAATCTGGCTGACTACTGCTGCTTAGCAGCACTGGAATGACCCAACACCAAAAGTGGAGCTCCCATGGGGACATCACTCGAAGAAGAACTGTCTTTGCTTACAGTTCTAAAAACAGGGAGATTCAAACGGGAACAGGATGTAAGATTTGAAAATGTTCAGACCCCAAAAGCTAAGTCTCAAAAAGTGTAGCAACTCAAAATGGGTTTCAAGTGGAAACACTTAGGCCACGGATGGTGGGTAAGACAGCCTCCGCACCCCACAAGCTGGTTGATCCAGCCTGCCAAGCCGGTTGATCCGGCCCATGGCCACCCTGCCACTCCCCTGGAGATGGGGGAGTGCGCAAAGTCTCCTCGCCCCCAGCAAAGGGGATGGGGGGGAAGAAAGGGTACTTCAAAGCGGCAGTGCCACACAGCTGATCCCCGACTCAGCTGTGTGGCGCTTCCCCTTTGAAATGCCACCTCGGTATTTGAAAGGGACAGTGCCGAACATCTAAGCCAGAGATCAGCTGTGCAGTGCTGCCACGTGTGGAACCCAAGGTCAGCTGGGGACTCCCTAGCTGATCCCGGGCTCCAGCGTGGCATTTCTGCGGAACCCGGGATCAACTCCTAGTTTCTGCTGAGGAGTCCCCAGCTCACCACAGCTCCACATGGCATTTCAAATTGGCAGCACAGCATGGAGTCCTGGCAGTCAGTGGGGGACTCTGAGTCAACTAATCCTTAATGTTCCTACTCCTAACTCAGATAGTTGAAAATAAGAGTCTGCTGGAGACTCTCGTGCATTTCAAAGCTGGCACGCTGTGTACAGCCCAGAATCAGTGGGACTTCCCGCTGGTCCTGGGCTGCTTGTGGAGTTCCTCGTTTCTCCTTTGAAATGTACAAGAGCCACAATCTCTCGTACATTTCAAAGGAGAAATGCAGAAGTGCCTATCGACTAATTGAGTATTCGATGGAAATTCTATCGACTAGTCAATTAATCATTACTTAACATCCTTAAGTTTCAGGGGGTAGCAGAGTTATCCTGAATAGACTAAACTTAAACAACAAAAAGGTCAGGTAACACTTTATAGACTAACATGAGCCCACGAAAGCTCATGTTAATATCTACATGTTTTATTAGTCTATAAAGTGCTACCAGACCTTTTGTTGTTTTTTAAGTTTAACATCCTTAGTTAGGAGACTCTGCCAATAGAACTGTGCAGTACATTTTAAATTATTATAGAACTTTACAGTGACATGAAAAGAAAGTTCTTCTTCACACAGTGTGTAGTCAACCTGTGGAACTCCTTGCCAGAGGAGGCTGTGAAGGCTAGGACTATAATAGAGTTTAAAGAGAAGCTAGATAATTTCATGGAGGTTAGGTCCATAAAAGGCTATGAGCCAGGGGGTAAAATGGTGTCCTTGGCCTCTGTCAGAGGCTGGAGAGGGATGGCAGGAGACAAATTGCTTGATCATTGTCTTCGGTCCACCCTCTCTGGGGCACCGGGTGCTGGCCACTGTCGGTAGACAGGCTACTGGGCTAGATGGACCTTTGGTCTGACCCGGTATGGCCGTTCTTATGTTCTTATGAAGATCAGTTGTACTGTGTGTAATACAAACATTTCTGCATAGTGAATATTCACATGGTGAAAGTACACAATGAATGAGAAAATGCTCCAACAGGCTCAGACTCCTTATTTATGATGTTTGGAAATGTGCAATTTAATTATGAAAATTAAGCTTTCAGAGTTGAGCGTTCCTAGAAATTTTATCCTCCAATTTCATGATTCACCAAGAATAAATAGCCAGTTTAATTTCTAAGGACTGATACTACTTTCTATTGATCAACAACAGTGGTGGGCAACCTGTGGACCTCATGCAGCCCATTGGGGTTCTGTGTGTGGCTCATGAGACATTTTGTTGATTGTTGCCTATGCGCAGGGTTGCCAGATTCCACGGGTTTCCATCTGTGTAGTTTTTTTCCTTCCAATATTACTAAAATGACATGCATGTAAAGCAAGGGCATATAAAGTGTGATGTTTGCTGATTGTTCACAACAGTGACTGTGAGAGCCATGTGCTCCCTCTACATCCAGTCACAGTGCTGCTACAGTTCAATTGGCATACCCCACAAATTCTAGGTATGCAAGTGCAGTTAGCAAAACTACGCTATCCTGGGAAACTATCTTGGTTACAAAATCGTTTGTGCCACTGAGATGGAAGGCCACTCATTAAGCCCATTCAGTAGCCTAGATTGTGCATTGCTGGCTTAAGGACATGAGGTCTGGGATATTGAACTATAAAACAAATGAGCAGTGCTAATAATGATGAATAGGAGCTGTGACACTAGAGAACTGGATAATTGTTGGCTCTCCCTTTCTAGAAACAGTGTCAGGCAAAAAGACCACAGGATTCTGGGTGGATGACAGCCGTAGAAAAGAATTCTAAATATATTTACCATAAATCATAGTCTGTTTAATTAGCAAATAAATAATTTATCTGTCAAGCGATTAAAATTTTTGATCATGATAATAATTTAATGATTAATCATGTCAATTGCACGGTTAATAATAGAATAGCACATATTTAAATATTTTGAGTGTTTTCTACATTTTCAAATACATTTATTTCAATTACAACTGAATACATAGTGATAACAATCCAAAGTTGTGTGGATTAACTTTAGCATCTGAGTCAGATGCCACAAGCAGAGATTGATTTTCTTTTTTTGATGGTTTGGGTTCTGTAGTTTGTATAACATAGTGTTGTTCATTTAAGATTTCTGAAAGCATGCTCCACACCTTGTCCCTCTCGAATTTTCTTAAAGCTTGGGTCAAGTGTTTTACATATTTTTAAAAAATGTCACATTGGTACCTTCTTTGCATTTTGTCATATTTTTAGTGAAAGTGTTCATTAAAACAATCAACATGCTGAGTCATCATACAAGACTACATCAAATAAAATATATGGCAGAATGCAGGTGAAGCAGAAGGGGGGACATCGTAAGTCTCCCCTAAGGAGTTCAGTCACAAATGTAATTAACACATTTTTTTAATGGGCATCATCAGCATGGAAGTATACCCTCTGCAATGGATGCCAAGCCATAAAGATGCATGCAAATGTTTAGCATATTTGGCATGTAAATACCTTCCAATGCCAGCCACAAAAATCCTATGCAAACTCCTTTTCTCACTTTCTGATGTCATTGTAAATAAGAAGTGGGCAGCATTCTCTGCTGCAAATATACACAAACTTGCTTTTCTTAGTGATTGGCATAAGAATTAGGATCTCCCGTAAATGTAAACAAGCTTGTTTGTCTTGGGCTGTGTCTAGACTGGCAAGTTTTTCCACAAAATCATCTGATATTGCGGAAAAACTTGCCCGCCGGCTACACTGGCCGCTTGAATTTCCGGAAAAGCACTGACGATCTCATGTAAGATCGTCAGTGCTTTTCCGGAAATACTGTGCTACTCCAGTTTGGGCAAAAGTCTTTTTCCGAAAGACTTTTGCGCGAAAGGGCCAGTGGAAATAGCACAGTAGTGTTTTCCGCAAAAAAGCCCAGATCGTGAAAATGGCGATTGGGGCTTTTTTGCAGAAAACCGCATCTAGATTGGCCACAGACGCTTTTCCGCAAAAAGTACTTTTGTGGAAAAGCATCCTGCCAATCTAGACGTGTTTTTTCCGAAAATGCTTTTAACGGAAAACGTTTCCGTTAAAAGCATTTTCGGTAAATCATGCCAGTGTAGACGTAGCCTTGGTGATTGGCTAAACAAGAAATAGGACTAAGTGGACTTGTAGACACTAAATTTCTGCATTTTGTTTTTTAGTGCTGTTATGTAACAAAAATAAATCTACATTTGTAAGTTATACTTTCACAATAAACAGATTGCACTATAGTACATGTCTGAGGTGAACTGCAAAATACTATTTCTTTTATTATCCTTTTTTTCAATGCAAATATTTGTAATTAAAAATATAAAGTTAACAGTATACACATTGTATTCAATGTTGTAATTGAAATCAATATATTTGAAAATGTAGAAAAACATCCAAAATATGTAATACATTTCAATTGGTATTCTATTGTTTTAACAATGTGATTAAAACTGATTAATTGGGATTCATTTTTGAGTTAATTGTGTGAGTTAATTGCAATTCCACAGCCCTAAAATAAATAAATATTAACCCAAGGTATTCCTAAGTATAAACCTGTCATATAGTTTAAACTTTCTGAATTTTGAAAGAAATTTGATGACTTTCTGTGGTTTACAGTTGGTGAAGATGGACAAATAAAAATCTGGTCTAAAAGTGGAATGCTGAGATCCACTTTAGCACAACAAGGTAAGTAAATATCTTTCCTTAAAGCATTTCACATGTTTAATTTCTGCTATATATAATCTCTCCTAGTGCTTTCCCCTAAATCTGGCAGTAGTTGCTTGGATTAAGATAATAGGGCTTGACTCAACTTCCATTAAAATCAAAGGGAATATTTCTGTTGACTTCACTGCAAGTTAGATCAGACATTGTTCTTTGAGAGACAAGACTTCTTTGAAAGTCTATTTAATATGAAAACTAGGCTTTTGGTTGGTGAGTACTGATTCTATGTTTGCATATGAATCCTTATCCAAAACATATTTCAGAGAATATATCAGCTACCAAAGTTGTCAATTCAAATTGTAACAATAGGTCAGTGACTATAGTTTGAAAAGTTTATCTTTAAGAATTGGTCATTACAGAAATCAAAATGTTAATATTTTCTCACATTCTTCCAGCCTACTTTTAATGAAGTGAATTGCAAACTTATAACTTGAATATTTGCATGTCCTAAAGTGTAAGACATTAATTTTCTTTCACTGAGAGCACCTCTGACATGCATAGAATCTTCAGTTCTAGTGCCTTACTGACACTACTACCAACTTTTTTATCAGTATCAGGATATAGAATCTTCAGTTCTAGTGCCTTGCCGACACGCTTTGTGTGCTGGCCTACTACCAACTTTTTTATCAGTATCAGGACCTCTTTCAGGACCCAGTATATGGGCAAGGCAGGTACCAGTACTGTTAACTCTTCCTTTGGTACTGATCGCATCATTAGGTTGGGCTGTAGATGACATTGGATAGTTGGTAGTCCCATTAGGAGTAGTGACCTCACCACTGCCATCAAGCTATTTTGAAAAAAACCTCTGAGCTCGACTGTGAGAAATCTCCCTCCCTTCCCCATCTCTCTTAATCTTGAAGGTCATCAAGACACAGCAGAAATCATAGTCAGTACAGTAGACACGGGACCCTGTCCTAATTCTTTCTGGATCCCAATGCCATATCCTTGTCTGCTGCGGCCTCTGCAGAATCCCTGGAATGTCTCTCATTTAACAAAGTCCTGGTCATCTGCAGGAGTGGGGAACCTTTTTGGGTTTGGAACTATCGAGCCACAGAAAAATTAACTGGGAGCTACACACAAGTGAGAAGCAAAACCAAAAAAAACCCCATTGTTCACTAACCTGGCTCCCAAGTGAGGAGAGGAAAAAAAAAAAAAAAAAAAAAGCCCTTACAGATGTGGCTCCCAACTGAGAACGGGAAAAAAAGATACATAATGATCTCACTCCTCTGGCAGTTGCCTTGCCAAGACTTGGGACTCCCTCCACCTCAAAGTGGGGCAAGATTATCTGTATCTCCAGTAGCATTCCCACTGGAATCACCAGTCCTGCAGCTACCAGCAGAGGGGGATTGCCCTGTAATAGAACAGCCTGAATCTTTAGGTTCATCAGATGTTGTTCTTTAAGACATTCCATTGGTCCCAACTAGATCTTCTTCCTCATCAGTGGATGATGCAGCAATACCACAGTCCTCCTCTTTGGTGCCAGAAGATTTCAGGTCATTTCAGGATCGGTTCAGATGTAATTGATAAGTTCAGGCCCAGTTTATATAGGAAAACACAAACAAATTGTAGACTATCCTCCATCAATTACCTCCTTGGAGAGTTGCACTCCCCGTAAATCAGTGTTTGTCAAAGTGGTCCACAGATCCACTCTTGAGAAACCTGCTAACTGGTCACTCTGGTTTGTTTGTTTACTGGTTCTGCAGCCATGGAGCTGCATGGCTCCCATTAGCTTCGGTTCACCTTTTGTAGCCAAGGGGAGCTGCGGGAAGCAGTGGCCCGGCCCATGTCACTTCCTGTGGCTCCCCTTGGCTGCAAACAGCGAACCAGAGCCAATGGGAGCCACGAGGCTTCATGGCTGTGGAGCCGGTAAATAAATAAAATGGAGTGGCCAGTTAGCAGGTTTCTCAGAGTGAATCCACAGATACTAGAGTCTGCTAAATCCCTATGGAATGCCATGCCTTCATTAACACCCACAGAAAAGTACACTAACAAAAAAATACTATATGCTTGTATAGAGCTTCAGAATTTTTTCCCCCTCTCATCCAGCTCCCAATTCCCTGTTTGTTATAGTAGCAAATGAGTGAATGAAGCAAGGATTTACACCTATGCAAAGAGTCTCTAAAAAGTTAGAGTTGATAGGGAGAAAGAGCAGTTCAACTTCTTGCATATGTGCATTCAAACTAGCAAGCTCTGTTATCGAAATAGGATTTTGTGGACTGAGACATTGCATACATATTTTTGGACAAGTTGCCAGAATCCTCAACAGAGGAGTTCAAGGCCTTCGTTACAAAAGGCTGTTTAGTGGCCCAAACATCCTTACATCTGCTTGGATATAGTGAATGCTTTGTCCAAGCTCATGGCCTCAGCTGTAACAATGAGATGAATTTCCAGGTTTTAAAAAAAAACCTATTATAGCTCCTGAGATACAACAATGCATGGAAGGCTTGCCATTTCATGGTCACCTGCTATTCTCAGAAAATTAATAACATGGTTTGAGCCAATAGTCTTTCAGGGACTCCCATACCACTTGATGCTTATTGAGGATTTATACCCAGGCTACAAGAAATGGCATTTGAAGAACCAACAGAAACAAGAATATTGCCCTCAGTGATATTTCCATCAGTCCACCTTCTGTGAGGCAGTAAGATTTCCCTAGAAAGAGGCACAAAGGAGGAATTATTCTGATTTTTAGCTTTTGTCAAATAATCCCTCCTTCTTTTCTGACTTTTTGAGATGACATCTGGGGGATTCTCCGGCACAATACCACTGCAATATATTATGGTAGCGAGGGGAGGGGTGCCTTCTCCAACATGCTTTTTCAGGAAGCAATGAAGTTTTGGCATCAAGCTCATATTAGATCATAGCAGACGGATTCTGATTGCACGACCATCGTTGAGGCAGTATTGATTTTCTGACCTCCACCCCCCAACATACTCATTCAACATCATGGCCAGGCAGTTCATCTGGCGATGAGCAGTCTGCACCTTACTCCATAGATGCTTCATGGCTAGACAGAAAGGAGCTGAGTGCTCTGAAGCAGTTAAACATACTCTGCTTAGTATCAGAATACCAGCCACAGTGCCAATCTACTTGCCAAACTGGACCTAGTTTTTTATTTGGGCAACGGCAAAGTAAATTTAACCAACATTCGCACAGGTTCAGGACATTTTGAATTATTTGCTGCTGCTGAGCTTCCTGAAGGTTCACTTGGTGGTGATCTTAACTGTGCAATTAAGGGAAATTAAAGCATATGCAATTTTTAAAGAGTATTAGCTATTTTTTTTCCACTGGTGAAGGAAAAAGTGCCATTGTGGGACCTTAATACAGTCCTGGGAGCACTGATGGACCCTTTGTTTGAGTAGATAGCAGCATGTTCACGGCTCTCCTCTCAGAAAATGGCCTTCCTTGTGTCTATAACATCCTTAAGAAGAGTTAGTGAGCTGCAGGCCTTAATAGCACATTGTCTGTGTACACCGTTCTTCAAGGACATGTTGATTTAAGACTATGCTCATTATTTCTGTCTAAAGTGGTGCCTTGGGTTTTACTTTAATCGGATTATTTACTTATCTATATTTTTCCCAAACCACATTCAAGAGTGGAGAAACAGCATCTACATAACTTAGATATCAGTTCTTGCTTAATATTTTATTTAGAAAGGACTAAGCCATCACCTGGGCTCTGTGTCCTACACTGAGCAGAGGAAGAGACAATGAGTCCCTACTGTTTCTAATTGGAATGTTGGTATGGAAGGGTACGGCTTGCTCAGGAAGGACAGACAGGGAAAAAAGGGAGGAGGGGTTGCCTTGTATATTAAAAATGTACACACTTGGACTGAAGTGGAGATGAACGTAGGAGATAGCTGTGTAGAGAGTCTCTGGGTTAAGCTAAAAGGGGTAAAAAACGAGGGTGATATCATGCTAGGAGTCTACTACAGGCCACCTAGCCAGGTGGAAGAGGTGGATGAGGCCTTTTTTAAACAATTAACAAAACTATCCAAAGCCCAAGATTTGGTGGTGATGGGAGACTTCAACTATCCAGACATATGTTGGGAAACTAACACAGCGAGGCACAGGCTATCCAATAAGTTTCTGGACTGCATTGGAGACAACTTTCTGTTTCAGAAGGTTGAAAAAGCTACCAGAGGAGAAGCTGTTCTGGATTTGGTTTTAACAAATAGGGAGGAACTAGTCCTCCACTTTCAAGTTCTCAACAGTATAAGGGACAGTGATCATGAAATAATAGAGTTCATGATCTTAAGGAAAGGTAGAAGGGAGACCAGCACAATTGAGGTAATGGATTTCAGGAAGGCAGATTTTGATAAGCTCAGAGAACTTGTAGGTAAGGTCCCATGGGAAGCAAGACTGAAGGGAAAAACAACTGAGGAGAGTTGGAAGTATTTCAAAGGGACGTTGTTAAGGGCCCAAAAGCAAACAATTCCGCTGTGTAGGAAAGATAGAAAATATGGCAAAAGACCAGCTTGGCTTAACAAGGAGATCTTGCATGATCTCAAAATAAAAAAGGAGTCATATAAAAAATGGAAACTAGGACAACTAACAAAGGATGAATATAGGCAAGCAACACGGGAATGCAGGGGCAAGATTAGAAAGGCAAAGGCACAAAATGAGATCAAACTAGCTACAGGCATAAAGGGAAACAAGAAGACCTTTTATAAATACATTAAAAGCAAGAGGAAGACCAAGGACAGGGTAGGCCCACTGCTTAGCGAGGAGGGAGAAGCAGTAACAGGGAACTTGGAAATGGCGGAGATGCTCAATGACTTCTTTGTTTCGGTCTTCACCGAGAAGTCTGGAGGTGTGCCTAACGTAGTGAATACAAGCAGAGAGAGGGTAAGTTTAGAAGATAGGATACACAAAGAACAAGTTAAAAATCACTTAGGAAAGTTAGATGTCAGCAAGTCACCAGGTCCTGATGAAATGCATCCCAGGATACTCAAGGAGCTGATA